CTCTTTCCCCCCACCCTGGCTGCGCCAGAGTAGGTGGGGAAGTAGTGGGTGTGAGGCAGGGAGTTTGGGCCATCCCAAATCCCAGCCAGGCTGCATGGGAGTAAATAACACTCCCTTATTTGCTTTCACTATACCAGTCATGATGTTATTCATAGCTCCTCTCATATTTACTCCAAGCTGAAAAGTCCCAGTCTTATTAATCTACTCATATGGCAGTCATTCCATATCCCTAATCATTTTGTTGCCTTTTTCTGAACCTTATCCAATATATCTTTTATGAATTGGGATGATCACATCTGCACATAGTATTCAAGATGTGGGTGTACTAGGGCAATATGATATTTTCTGTCTTATTGTCTATCCCTTTCTTAATTATTCCAATATTCTGTTTGGTCTTTTCATTGCCATTGAGCACTGAGTGGATGTTTTCTGAGAATTATCCACAATGATTCCAAGATCTCTTTCTTAAGTGGTAACAGCTAATTTAGACCCCACTGAAACTCTACAGTTCTGCCTGTCCAACTGGCCCTGTACATGGAACTGGAAACATTTCAGAGAACACTACCACAGAGGTTCTGAACTTCAATCTCTTACCTAACAACCTAAATTTGACCTTTGGAATCTCTTGCTTATACTTGCCTATGTTGTTGGTACTTGCATATACCATAACCCCTCTCCAGCACTACACACAAGACTATCTAGATGTCTTGAGAGATCTGCAACCTTCGCACCAGTCAGGCAAGTCACCATGCGGTTCTCCCGGTCATCACAAACCCACCTATGTTTCTAATGACTGAATCCCCCTTAACTATTACCTGTTGCTTCCCAATAACTGGAGCTTCTCTTCAGTATATGACTGATTGACTGTATAAAAGCATTGTGTGATAATAAGGGGCACTGTATACAGAGTGCAGCTTCCACTCCTGTTTCAGACCTAGCAAAAAAATAGTGTATCAAAATGGATTTTCATCCCCAAAAAAAGTAATATAAATGGTTTGCCCTTATATCTAAATTTCTAGTCACAGCAAGAAGTAATTAGAATTTACCTATTAAGACTCCTCATTTCTAAGTGCTCCATCACAAACAGAGTGCTGCCTCCTGGCACATCTATAACTTTAATAGGTTTGGGCACCTTTACTGTCTGTGTTTGCAGGATGGCTGATAAACTTTCCATTTCTCCCTCAAACATTCTTCTGGCCTGTCAAATACAAAGGAAAAGCATTATTCCTCTTGAACAATGTTATGGCTAAATGAAGGACTTTTTGTAAGTAAACCAAGTCTAAATTTTTTTAACAGAGAGTTGTTTTTTGTTGTTGTTTTGCTAGAGCACGTACAAAATGCCAGTGGTCCTGACTGTGGTGCCTACACTACTAAGTCTGACCTACATTAATATAGCTGCTGTTCTTAAATTTTATCAGCAGAAATACAATGATTGTGGCTAACCTGCATCTGCAATGTTCTTTCAAGTGAGAATCTATTCAAGTTCCAACTTTAAGGCTTGATTCTGCCAGCGTCATTTGTGGTGAGTAGTACTTACTCTCCATTGACTTCAACGGAACCAGTCACATAATTTAATACTAGTCAAGGAGAGAAAGGGTTGGATAAAAGGTCTCTTAGAGACGCTGCAGTCTATGGAACTAATGAAACAAATTAAATATAACTGACTAGTGAATAAAATAAAACTGAATGATTTAGAGCCAGATACAGGAATTAAAATCACAGGACAAACTGCAATTGGCATTGACTGCAAACTCTCCAGACTGGAGGCAAATAAGAATTCTTGGACTATCTAGTAAGGAGTTAGCTGCTTTATGACTTATAAATGGCTAAGTTGGTTAAATAATAGTACCCCTGTCTGAAATATTATCCTAGGCTTCAGCCAGCTGCAAATTTTGATAGAGTAAAATAACTAAAACCAAACACTTATAATAGAACTGCTGATATAGAACATTACTGCACACACAGCACATTATACTACAGTCAGGTTAAGTTTGCTTTCATCAGCATTCTGCATCTGTAGACACATGCAAAAGCATAGAAAACAGTGGCCAACTGAATAGCAAATTAATCCAGCACTTATGACTTTTTTTTTAAAAATCAACACTTCATTACTCAGCATTATCCTGCTCCTAATTCCCTAAAGCACTCCCAAATATGCTCAAAGAATTATTACCAAACAGTGTGTGTGTGTGTGTGTGTGTGTGTGTGTGTGTATTAACTATGGCCCAAATGGAAGTACTAGGTTATAAGGATGTTAAGGACTAGTCGACTATCCAATAAGCAGATGATTTCTAGTTGATTAAACTAGTTGATTTCTCTCCCTCCCTTTCTGCCTCTATCAGATAGAGGCAACAAGGGGGGGGGGGGGGGGGGAAATGGTATACTTCAAAGCAGCAGGATCAGCTATGTGGCACTGCCCCTTTGAAACGCCACACAGCTGATCCCCTGGGTTCTGGGGAAATGCCACATGAAACCCACTGGAGACTCTTGTACATTTCAAAGCTGGCACCAGGCATGCAGCCCAGAGTGAGCAGGACTTCCCAGCAGTGGCTCTTGTACATTTCAAAGGAGGAATGCAGAAGTGCCTATCAACTAGTCGAGTAGTCGATGGAAATTACACTGACTTCTCGACTAGTAATATAACCAACAGTTAACATTCCTACTAGATTTGTCATCACTATTAGGTGTTCAAGTTCTGCTACTAGACAACAGGTTCTTTAAGCAAGTTTCCAACTAGGACCTGTGCATACTTGACTGACATTGTTATCCTGCTGCTCATATCACTAAATAGGAGAGGGGCAGGAAGACTGGAAACAGACATTGTGGACTCCTAAGTTCCCTCTAAGCTGCGGTCGCGCAGCTACCTAACAAACCGCACATAGGGGCTCAGGGTGGCTACACTCAGCCCACTGGACCAACTCGGAGCTGTGGTGGCTGGAGAAGCGCCTCCCTCGCCTGCCCCAACATGGAGCTGCTGTAGCAGAGCTGTTGCAGCAGCTCCCTGGTGAGGAGGGGGCACCCCCCCCAGCAGCAGCTGTTCCATGCCAGGAGAAGGGGCACCTCTTCCCCTTCCCCTAACCACCACTGTCCCATACTAGGGCTAGAGGAGGGGCACCTCTCTCACCTGACCACAACCACCAATCTGGTGGGCAGGTGCCATTTCCCTCGCCCTCACCTAGCCTAGCCTGAGCTTGCCCCAGAGAGGGACAGGAGTCCTTCTCTCAGCTGAGCCCTATGGAGCTACAGTAGCCATGGAGAGGCACCTCTCACCTGGCCCCTAGCTGCTGCATTGAGGCCTAGGAGAAGTCTTCTCTCCTCGGGCAGCCTACACCTCAAACCCTTCATCCCCAGGCCCACCCCAGAGCTCACACCCCCATCCAGAGATCTCACCCTGCACCCCAGCCCTCTGCCCCTGTCCCGAGCCCCCTCCCATATCCTCACTTTCAAGCAACTATCTGCTTGGCCTTAGGTGGTACAGCCAGTTCAGCAACTACTCACCTTTACATAGAATCATAGAACACTAGAACTGGAAGGGACCTCGAGAGGTCATCGAGTCCAGTCCGCTGCCCTCATGGCAGGACACAGTACCGTCTAGACTATCCCTGATAGATGTCTATGTAACCTGCTCTTAAATATCTCCAGAGATGGAGATTCCACAACCTCTCTATGCAGCTTATTCCAGTGTTTAACCACTCTGACAGAGCTTTTCCTAATGACCAACCTAAACCTCCCTTGCTGCAGTTTGAGCCCATTGCTTCTTGTCCTATCCTCAAAGACCAAGGAGAATAATTTGTCTCCCTCCTCCTTGTGACACCCTTTTAGATAACCTGAAAACCACTATCATGTCCCCTCTCAGTATTTTCTTTTCCAATTCCTTCGGTCTTCCTTTATAGGTCATGTTCTCGACCTTTCATCATTCTTGTTGCTCTTCTCTGGACCTTCCCTAATTTCTCCACATATTTCTGAAACGTGGTGCCCAGAACTGGACACAATAGTCCAATTGAGGCCTAATTAGCACAGAGTGGAAGAATGATTTCTCATGCCTTGCTCACAACACTCCTGTTAATGCATCCCAGAATCATGTTTGCTTTTTTTGCAACAGCATCACACTGCTGACTCATTTAGCTTGTGGTCCACTATGATCCCTAGATCCCTTTCTGCAGTACTCCCTCTTAGACAGTTGTTTCCCATTCTGTATGTGTGACACGGATTGTTCCTTCCTAAGTGGAGTACTTTGCATTTGTCCTTATTAAACTTCATCCTATTTACCTGAGACCATTTCTCCAGTTTGTCCAGAGTATTTGAAAGGTGAAGCCAGCTCATTTTTTTTGTATAAACAGCCCCTGGAATTAGTCCCCTCATTACCATGGTTCCCGCTAAGCTGCATAACTGCCTAATAAGCCCTACACAGGAGCTCAGAGCAGCCATAGCTTCTTTTCTCTACTGGCCGCCACCACCACTCCAGGGCCTCAGGCTCAAGGGGTCCCATTAGCAACCCTGGGCTACAGCCTGAAAAGCTCCTGTTTCCCTGGCCAGCCCTTACTGGGGACAAGGAAGGTGGCTATGCATGCTGCTGTTCCTCTCTCCGTCCCCAAGCACCATGACACTCTGACCCCATGCTACCCTCAGCTGGAGGCTCCATCCCATAGCACCCATTGAATTGCAGCCAATAAGAGCTGCGAGGCGGGGGCAGTGCCTGCAGATGAGCACCAAACAACCTATCCCACTAAACAGGAGCTGTCCCAGCTAAGTATCCCGGAACACTGAGTCCCCCTTCTGCATTCTAAATCCCTCCCACATCCTGCACCCCAGTCTCCTGCCCCAGCCCTGAGCCTCCTCCCGCACTCTGAGTCCCTAAGTACCTCTTAGACCCACACCCCAATCCAGAGCCCCAGCCCTAAGCCTGTTCCACCACCCTAATTCCCTCCTAGACCCCACACCCCAACCCTAAGCCCCCTCCTACATCCTAACTCCCACCGAGATCCCACCCTCCTGCCCCGAGTTCGATCCTGCACTCCAACTCCTCAGCCTGCAGTTCCCTCGTACACCCCAAACACCTCCTATCCCCAGCCCACACCCAGGCCCAGACTTAGGGCTGGTTACCGTGGGCCCCATGTTGCGCAGAGCCCAAGTACAAGCTGCATCTGGGACTGGTGCTGGACAAGCCGGACATCTGCATCCCTGTGAGGCTGCCGCTCCTCCGCTCGGCCTTGGGACACGGG